AGGAGGTAATGGCACCGATGCTACATTACTCTTGGTTAGGTATCACGAGGTTGTCACTTTACAGGTAATGGTGTAGAATGACCAAAGAGGTAACGTTGATGTTAAATTAATTCATTATAAAGTCTACCTGTTAATTAGTGGGGAATAATAATGCCATTTTGCACTACAAGAGTTTGCCTGTAGTCTAGTTCGTGGTTCTATATTTAAAAGTGACAATGTTATCATCCAGCCAAATTCGTGTATTTAGAGCACATTCTTTCGCTGTGCTCAAACATCTATAGTTGGCGACATCCGCTACTGAAGAACACCACTCCCCCACCATCTCCTCCTCCACCAGCAAAAAAAAAAATCGTTGTTGGTGTTATCGTCGCACAATATCATATAAAATCCCCAAGTGCGTATTCTAAGTAAGCAAATACACTAATAATTAATCAATAATAATAAAAACGAGATACAACTCCCTCTGGTTGGGTGGACAGAGTACGGAGAATATTTTATTTATCACTGGATTCTTTATCAAACATGAAAACTATTTATATCAAACAACTAATGAAAGATTATATTTCTTGAAGTAATATTCCCATCTAAATAATTAACAAACAACATGAAATGATAATCTTTTTTTTTAACATGCGAAAAACCTCTCCTGCCTGACCCTCAAATTTACTGATTATGAGAACTTATTGATCAAACGGCGCTAACGCAGCTTAAAGTTCTTGGTCACTCTTCAGTCTTCATGTCTTAATTAATGTCAACTGTATCTTCCTCTTGGTTAACTTATTCTAGCTTGAGTGTTGACTAGGCTACTTACTGTCTGTAGTTTCAATCATTTTACGTGAACAATTAGTGAGTCAAACAAGGAGTCTGCCTGATACACGTGTTAAAATATATACAGTACTATACACCCGCCGGTATCAACCTCAAAATGTTATTCCCGTCGGTGTTACAGTAAAGATAGAAGCATATTGACCTTTATTTTGCACCTGGGAGGCACCGCTCCAGGTAAGCTTAAATAAAATACTAATGGCGAGAACAGGTAGTGGCAGATGGTGTGCGTGGCTCTCCTGTAGTCTGTCTGTCCATACCCAGGTGAGACTGACCTTACCCAGCAGTACACATGCGCAGCGCTTTCTCCAGGGTGACAACAATATTACCAATAACTTAACCCAACATAACTTAACCTTACAAGATAACTTAATCTGCCTCTTACTAACCATAACATGATGAAACCTAACCTAACATGACCTTACCTAATTAACCTGACCTGTCCTGAGAGAATGGGTGGCGGGGTAAAAATCTCACAGGGATACAGTACAGTATTGTAATATGACACTGGATGTAAAATACAGTTGGCAGCCCACAGAACTGAACTAAGAGCGATGATTACATTATCGGTCAACATAACAGCTCTAAACAGTGTATATACCGTATAGTTAAAAAAAACATACGAGACAGACAAATATTATTATACTTATATATGAGGCAGTTTTTCCATATTTAATGAAACTGATGGAATTGAAAGAAAGTAAACCGCTGTTGGACACAATTACATTTACGATTCTTCAAAGCTTTTTCCTTTCCTCTCAGTCACCGTCTTGAATCACTTAGGAGAAGCTGTGTCTTTGACTGTGTTGATCATACCCGTCGCTGTGAATCCAGATCGGCGCCTCTAAGCAAGTTTTAGTTTCAGGAAATAATAAAAAGTCACCGGGCGCCGAACTTGAATTTAATTCGTTGGTAAACTTGTGGCAAACATGGCTGCTGTTAACGGGTGCGTACTCTGGAAACAGGACCATCCGTTATCAGGGTCTCAGGCCGTTTTTCTCACAATATTCCCCACTGTTGGTCGTGCAGTATATGTAAATAATAATATCTGCCAACAGTCGGTCCACTGGGGACACAATGGCAATCTTCACCGATTTTCACGTCAGCTGGAGCCTCTCATTTCGGGTGTTTGTAATCGAAGGGCGCCCTCCTCTCCACCCACCCGCAGTTCCCTCCTGACCTGAAGACAATTAATCGTACCTTTAAAACACTCTTGAGTTTATTATGGTTGTTGGATCATATGGCAAGTCTCTGTCGCGGTTTACTGAGCTGCCACAGAAAGCAATGAGAGCAAACCTTAATTGAATTCCTAAGTTTATGATAGGTATAGACAATAGCATTATCTACAAACACTACACGAATGACTAAAACAGATGCGTCTACACTGTCAACTTTTTGTCAAGTCCTTCGGTTTATGTCAAGATCGTTTATATGTGAGAAAAATAGAGGAAGAATTATTGTTCCTTCCCTGAGAGAGACACCAGAAGGCTTGTAGTGGCGTCCTCTGGTGTCAGACAGATGAATCTAACAGGATTTTTAATTGTTGATCACCTGAGTAATTACTAAAATACTACACGTGCTTCAAAACCTTATGACTAACATAATAAAATAACTTGAATTGGCTCAGGTGTTCAAGATGGAGCTGGTGTAGAGTGCAATGACGAACTGTGTGTGTGTGTGTGTGTGTGTGTGTGTGTGTGTGTGTGTGGGGATGGTGGATCTTAATTTCGGAACTAATTTGTGTTGCAACAGATCAGGGAGGAAGGACCACAAGTCTTATCTGGTAATCCCATTGTCCGGAGTGAGTGACTGGCGGGCCAACTGAGGCTTCTGGCGAGTCAACAAGTTATTATTTTCTAATAATTTGTCTCATAATCGATTATTTATAAACTTTATGTCCAAGTTAGGAAAGATTATATATTTTTGTATGTATATAATTTTCAGTGGTTAACATAATATTAAGTGTTTCCTGTCCTACACACACACACACACACACACACACACACACACACACACACACACTATAAGCAACCCTCGTTATCTTCTACTGGTGTGAGAATAGCTCATATTATCTATAATCTTCCTTGTCTGCTCAGCGACCCACAGTATGATATAAATTCCACATGTGACCGCTCTATCTCCCTCACCTGGCTCTGGGGCGGAAACGAAGAATCATCAAGACTCACTACTGTACCTAGATGCCTCAGGACTTTCTCTTACCTGTTAGTTACACCGACAAGAAAATATCAATAGTTAACATTACACAGGTTTTCTCTCAAGGCTCACATCTTGAAACAAACTTCTCACAGGTAAACAAAACTTAACGTGTTGATACAAGCTAAGACATGTTCTGACCTGTTCTTGTATTATTGAGTCTCCATTTATGATCAAATTTTATTTACTGAACAATGATTTCTAAATATTTACATGATTTTCTTACAATTGTGAACACTTTTATACAATGCCTTAGCTTGTACGTATGGTGTGATTTTACAGCATTAAAAAAAAAGAAGAATGTACATATTTAGTGTGGACAAAACACCTGTAGCCTGGACTCCCATAACACAACACAGGTGATGAAACAATGAGGAGATGCAGTAACCATTGTCATCACCAGCACCAGTCACTAACACGCTACAATATTTTGATAATTTTTTTTTTATTTAACATCTCGTATATAAATGTACATATATATTAGATTAACTAGTACTTAATCATAAATAAATCCAATCATAATAATTAACTCACAATGTACGGGCATGTCTCAATACTGAAGGGTTAAACTAATCTAATTAATCTTTACCGCTAATATACGTAAATATTATTAAAAATTTTCTTCATATAATTTCATACATATGGTATCTTAACATGGTATCGTTGCCAAGTAATGTATTTATCTTGAGATATATTGTGTATAGAACAGTGTCTTATAGTACGACCATAAAGTGCTCACCATCCTCAGGCCAATAGTTAACACCTCTTACTAAGGACACGATCTGTTCCATGCAAAGTTTGTATGAAAAAGACGGGGACAGAGCTTAAAGTTTATACGATACTATATTTACGGAGCCAAAGGCATGCCATTTACGTCTCACACACACACACACACACACACACACACACAAACACACACTAATGGTATCTTGTTAACTTAGAGCCGTTGAAGTGATCTCTTACCGTACATATCACTCACCGTGCATCACTACACACAGCTGGGTGAGGATAGGTCTCCGGATGTTAGTGGGACGGAGTGACAGCTTGGCCCAGGGGTAGCTTGCCTCACCGCCCACCACACAGATTGGCAGGGTGTTTACACGAGCTGAGACCAGGGTACATCATTCTCTCTCTCTCTCTCTCTCTCTCTCTCTCTTTTAGTTCTTTAGCTTCGTTATTTTTTTATGCTGTCACTGTTATTATCATTCTTACTCTTGGTCTGTGGCAGGAGGCGTGTGTGGTGGCTGGGCAGGAAGCGTGTGTGGTGGCAGGGCAGGAAGCGTGTATGGTGGCAGGGCAGGAGACGTGTGTGGTGGCAGGGCAGGAGGCGTGTGTGGCAGGGCAGGAGGCGTGTGGTGGCAGGAGGCAGGAGGAGGGTGTGTGTGGCAGGGCAGGGAGGCGTGTGTGCAGGTGTGTGGTGGAGGTGTGGCAGGGCAGGAGGCGTGTGGTGGCAGGCAGCAGGGCAGGAGGCGTGTGGTGGCAGGGCAGGAGGCAGTGTGTGGGTGGCAGGACAGGCGTGTGTGTGTGGAGGGCAGGGTGATGGCAGGCAGTGTGTGGAGGAGCAGGAGGTGTGTGTGGTGGCAGGAGGCGTGTGTGTGGCAGGGTGCTAGAGGTGTGTGTGGCAGTGTGGTGGGAGGGCAGGAGGCGTGTGTGGTGGCAGGGCAGGAAGTGTGTGGTGGGCAGGCAGTGTGTGGTGGGCAGGCAGCAGCAGGTAGTGTGTGGATGTGTGGTGAGGGAGTTTTGATTTGATTTGTGGTGTGTGTGGTGGCAGGCAGCGTGTGGCAGGGCAGGAGGCGTGTGTTGACAGCAGAATGCGTGTATGGTGGGAGAGTAGAAGACGTGTGTTGGCAGGGTAGGAGGCATGTGTATGTGTGTGTGGCAGGGCAGGAGGCGTGTGGCGGGCGTGCGGGTGCAGCAGTAGTGGAGGAGGAGGGAAGAGCAGCACAGCAGTAGTATTGTGAGGGAGCTGGTGGTGCCTGCACGCGCCCTGCTCATCTCCCACACTCACTCACGCGCGCCAACCAGCCAGCCTGGCCGACCGCCTCTCCCCGTCATCATCACACTCTCCCTCCAACGCTCGTGCTGTACGCTACCTCCTACCTCACGTCCTCCCTCCCATCCTCATTCACTTATCCTACATCCTTATCCGAGACATACATTCTACCATACACTCACATCTACATCCTTTCAATCAACATTTTCAACATCTCACTTGATATCTGATAAACATACCGCGGATACTGACGATTTTCATTTCACAGTATTTCTAATAATACAAAATTCTCGGGACCTTTATTTTTGATCAGTACCGCGGGCTAACAGATGACTTACCTGATATTTATGTCTAGTTACTACAGGTAAACACTTACCCATCTGTACTCAGTCTTCTCTCTCTGACCTACTAGACCACAGTAAGAAACTATTCCTCACAACAATGTCATCTTTACCTACAACACACAACCAACTACGCTCACAACACATCCCATTAATGCCACACAACCTAACACTGTCTCCTGCTGTTACCTGAACTCTGACCTAAAATATAATAATCCCCACCCAAAAACTTATAATATACAGTCAACGGAGATTTTTTTTTTATAATTCTGAAATACAGCAAAAAGGAAATGAAATTAATTGAAGATGAGACCGTTGGATATTGTCAATTCTCGCGATGAACTGTGACAGAGAGGAGAGAGAGAGAGACTGATACGCGCCTCACAGCTCCCAGCCTGACACGGAAACAACACAAAACCTTACAAAAAACAAAAAAACATCTGGCTTAACTAAAACACCTGTCTGTGTACCTTATCATAAAGTGATGAAAAAAATTACACCTCAAAGTGATAACCAATTTGTTTATCTACCAAATATAATGATCAAGATAAGCTACAAAATGCGATAACGAAAGATAACAAAAATACTATTATTTATACATGAACTTAAAAGCTGTGTTAATGATTCGTAATATCTGAAAAAAATTGGTCAGTTAATTTGAAATAGATTACCAGGAAGAGTTCTATTGAGGATCACCGGACAAGACTAATTTGCTGGTTGAGAAAGAACACGACACCTGCTGTGACTAATCGAGTGTTTAATATATATTTCCTGTGTAGTGGTTGGTGGTGGTAGTGGTGTCAGTGGTAAAGGTTGGTGGTGGTAGTGGTGTCAGTGGTAAAGGTTGGTGGTGGTAGTGGTGTCAGTGGTAAAGGTTGGTGGTGGTAGTGGTGTCAGTGGTAAAGGTTGGTGGTGGTAGTGATGTTAGTTATAGTGGTTGGTGGTGGTAGTGATGTTAGTTATAGTGGTTGGTGGTGGTAGTGGTTTAGTGGTAAGTGTTAGTAGTAGTGGTTGATACTGGTGCTAGTAATAATAGTAGTAGTAGATGAGATTAATACTAGTGATAGTTACAGTATTAATAAGAGTAATTATCACAAATAGTAGTAGAGTAACACAAGTTGTGGTCGTCAAGATAACACGCATAAAAAAGCCTTGACACTAACACAGGTAGATGAGTAGTTGTGTTAAATATCCTTACTTGTTGAGGTAGTGACTGTAAAGGTAGAAAAAATTGTAGTTAAGATAGCAAATGCACTGGGAGTAGAAGTAGTAGTTGTTGTTGTTGTTGTTAAGAGTAGTAATGGTAATGTGTTGGGAAAAGTGGCTGAACGAGTAATAAACAGATATATTTGTTTTAGGAATTAGCAGCACAGGTGTCAGTGATAATTACAGTGAGTCTAGGATGGTAGTGGTCACCTGGTGTGTGTAATTAAGTTAATGGTTGGGTTTACACTGGATGTATTATTGTGTCTTGAAGTGTGTGGTAACAAGAGCGTCAAGGTTGATATTAATACGGGTAGTGGTATTAGCTGTGTGGTAGAAGCAGGTACTGGTTGTATGGTACTGTCAGTGTTAAGTAGCAAAAGTCCCCCTCACTACCACCACCACAACACAAGTAGCGGCAACAGCTGCAAGATCAGTGTGGAGGAGCAACAAGCGGCGGGTGGCAGGCAGGGGTGGTGGGGTGGCGGCCACGTGGCTGGGCGGCGGCCGCGACTCCAACTCCTCCGCGGGTGCCACAAGCTCCTCACGGTCGCTGCTACTGCTGCCGTCACCAACGCTACCACCAACACCGCGTCTCGTCACCACTACTGTGTCACCTCCGCTGTTTCACCACCAGACGACCGGCCATAATCTCGTTACTAACACGTGTGGTGACTAACGGCTGTGGTGATCAGTTTGCGGGGTGAAGTGTCGCGGTATAAACGAGCGGGAAAATACAGGAAAAGTTACAATTCGCGTTTAAGATAACTTGAGATAAACAATAAATATAAACTTAGTGACACTCCAGTTAGAAGACTACGAGTTTATTTCTATGATCGTCAAATCCTGAAAAAATAATTCCTCGTCAGAAAAATGTCTTAATAAATCGTGTTTTTTTCACTCTCTCTCCACGGTAAAATTTTGACTATAGTGAGTAGATTATTGGATGTTTTAGTGAGGTAAATCCATTCGTTCGTCGTGTTGCTGTCAGTCTGTATAAATAGTTCGCTTTTGATAAGACTGTCGCCTTATTCAACACTGTGCGTCACGCCGGATTTAGGGAGTTATTAAATGCAAATGACCTCTCTAGACGGGCAAAAATAAGGACCATTCTTAAATTGAACGGAACTAACTCATTACCTACGCCAACTTAATACCAAACTTTCCCGGCTCAATCTTGGTTATTAATATTCCCAGGCCAGGTAATATCCAGTGATAACCGGAGAATATTACCAGTGTAAGAGAATACTGATAATTAATTAATCACGAGTGAGAAAAAAAATGAAGGATTGTCGTTAAGAATAAAATGACTGAATATGACCCCAGAATGAAGAAGGATTATACAACAGGTGGTGGGTGGTGGTGTAATTAGTGTTGGTGTGGAGGATAGTGACCCCAGGTGTAAGGGACCAAGAGGCTGAACATAAGAAGATCATCATGGTGGTAGTGGCGGCGTCTGGGTCTAGGCCCTCCGCTGGTCTCGCCTTCTTCTGCTTCACCGTCGTCGTCGCCTGCTTCCTCTCCATCGGTAAGTATTCCTGTTTAATTATCCAGTTAGTGATATTTTTCCCCTAGTCCTTCGTTGGTTCCTGTAGGTGGTATCCGCCGTGTGTCAGTTCTGGTTACAGGAGAGCACGGGAGCCTCACAGACAATCAAGGCCTTCCTGGAAGTCTTATTCTTCTACCACAATACAGTTGGTTATTAAATCCAACTGTGGTTCGTATCAGGACGTGTCAACCGTAACACACACTCACCTCCACTGTTAAAATGTTATATGGTGGTTGACTCAGGTACAAAATGGCGTTTCTTATCCACCCCTACTGAAGGATAGCGGCTACGGCATTGTATCCACACTCACATACAGTATAGTACTAATACAGGTTTGTGTTCTTATTGACAAAGATTCAACCCTGAGTGTATTGTCATATAGCGAAGGGATAAGATTCACTCCATTGGTTGATAAAATGACTCTCGAGGCTACTGAATTGATGAAGCAATATCGGGTAGGTGTTCTATATGTGTAACCACGCGAGGTAAAGCAACTGTAGAGTGAGCCGTAGTTAGTATCGGGTTATGACAAGATTGTGATCATGCCCTGGTGTGGTTATATATCATGAGTCTTGTTGTTATGTCAGTATGGTTGATAGTCTCAGTATAGCATGATGATTTAGAGCCACAGTGACGTCTCCTCGGAAAATATCGCCTCATGTACCAAGTGTTAGTAAATAATGTTCTTCAATCGTCGACTTTTATTATTATTATTATCATTATTATTATTATTATTATTATTATTAGTAGTAGTAGTAGTATTAGCAGTAGTAGTAAGAATGGTGGTAGTAGTAGTAGTACGAGTGGTGGTAGTAGGAGTAGTAGTAAGAATGGTGGTAGTAGTAGTATCATCATCATTATAATTACTACCGATTCATTATTTATTATCATTATCTTCCTCTACCATTCTTTCATTGTTTTTATCCTTCATTTATCCATTTCCTGAGGTACACTGAGCCTATACAGAGAAGTAAGTCCGTTATATCGAGGATCCGTTATGAAACCTACATCTAACGAACTACATAGAGATGACAAAATTTATATCGAGGGTTCGTTAGATGTGAAAACTCCCATCTAACGAGCTATACATAGATGAAAGTACGTTATATGGAGGGTCCTTTTAATATGAAAATCCCCACCCAACGAACTGTAGAAGAAAATCCGTTATTTTAAGGGTCCGTTAGATAAGAAAACCTTATCTAACGAGCTACAGAGATGAAAGTCCGTTATATCGAGGGTCCGTTAATGTGAAAACACCCAACTAACGAACTATATAGATGAAAATCCGTTATACAGGGATAAAAGTCCGTTATATCGAGGATCCGTTAATGTGAAAACCCCCATCTAACGGTTTATATGGGAGAGAGAAGTTCGTTATATGGAGAGTTCACTGTGCTGTACTGTAATCAGAGGCTGGGAGGTGAAACAAGCCTTGACGTGCCTTTACATAACACCCAACACCTTGTCTATATTAATTAGTGACTGACGCTTAGATACAGGTGTCAATATTTATCACCTAGGAATATTTATATCTCTCATCTACAACTATTAATTATCTTTCCCATCTCTTGTTCTTTCCTGTACTTTATTTCTCATTATCTTTACTATTTCTTTTAATCCTATATCTGTTTCTCATTTAAAATCATCATCATTCTCATCTTCTTTACCATTTCCTTATTTAATTTCTCATCACATCATCACTTTCCTTATTTAATTTCTCATCACATCATGTCTTTCCTTATTTAATTTCCCATCACCTCATCATCTTTCTTAATTATCTTTAAATTTCTCATCTATGTTTATTCACGTTACATCATCTTCAACATCAAGTATTTTATATACATTATATTACTTAAGATATACATAATAATCTTCACTATGTAGTTTATATGTAACACAATACATATATTTCCACTCAGCACTAATACACCTTAAGTAACAGGTAAAAATCACACATTATCTCACCTGTGTAATTTTTCCCCATAAGAAAAGTTAAGATCACTGTAACGAGGTTAGATTAAGGTTAGGTTAGGTTAGGTTAGGTTAGGTTAAATTTAAGTAGCGTTAGGGTTAGTTAAGCTAGGTTATTATTAGGTCAGGTTAGGTTAAGTTCGATTATGTTAGGTTGATTTAGGTTTGTTCGCTATATTAAGCTGGATTAGGTTAGGTTGGGTTAAATCAGGACGTATTGAGATTAGATTAAGTCGTTTGGTTCGGCTGGATTACGCTAAGCTAGGTTGGGTTATTAGGTTAAGCTCAATTAGGTTTGGTCACGTTAAATTAGGTCGTGTTAAGTTATGTTAAGCTGGATTAGGTTAAGCTAGTTTATGTAAATTTAGGCTAGATTAGGTTAGTTTATGTAAGAATAGGCTAAGTTAGGTTATGTTACGTTAGGTTAGATTAGGTTAGGTTGTGTAAGGTTAAGATTGTGTAAGGTTAAGATTGTGTAAGGTTAAGGTTGTGTAAGATTAAGGTAAGGTTAGGTTAGGTTAGCACCAATAATGAGATAAATGTGTAGTTTTGTTCACATTAATTTTCAAAGCGGTGAAGTGTGACGTATCCTACAACTAACATTATACTCATTACTCCCATGAATGTTGCTCACAGTACCTCGATCACCCTTACACCCAGGCGCCCGCTGTACACAATTGGTCACTATACACAGGGGGCTGTCACACACACACACAGAGGTAGCCATTATGTAAACACTATACCCAGGTGGTCGCTGGCAGTCACTAAATATAACCAATCACAGGAGTTCTTTATATACAAGTGAATGCTATTAACAAGTGGCCGCTATACACAGGTGGTTGTTCATACCTTGTGGTCGTTATGTACACAGGTAAACTCTTAAAACTATGGATTACTCTCTACAGATCTTCGTTATACACAGTGGCCAATATAAACAGGTGCCGTTTCAACATAGTGACCGTGTAATATAAATGATAATATACAGAGTTCATACATACTTATTACTAAATGTATAATAATAATAATAATAATAATAATAATAATAATAATAATAATAATAACGATAATAATAACAACAGGCAGCTTGACGTTAGTACATCAATCACCATTAAACTGTTATTCACATCATTCATTAAATAACACCAAGATGACTGGAATCACTGACCTAATAATGCATCACATTATTTATACATTGGTGAATTGATAGTCATTAATACATTTTTTATACATTTATTTAATCATTCTCTCGTGTATTCATTTTCTCAGATACATATATTATATTTTTCATTCTTCATCATCTTAGCAGGTCAGGTGCATCTTAATTAAATATATCCTAACAGGTATTAATACAGCAACAAGTATAGTGTAATCATGATCGAGACCTACACTAATTTTTAATGGTTCGCACACACACACACACACACACACACGGCATTAAATCATCTTAATATCATCCATACTTATATAATTCACTCATTAAAAATCATTATGTAAATAAAAGAATAAATGATAAAACATTATACAAATTGAAATAAAAAAATCCATTCAAACATTAATTTCAAACATTCACACGCGATAAAAAAAATCGTTCAACAATGCAAACACTTAAGTAATAATACCAATACTGCTAATAATAATAAGAACAATAATAATTATTATAATAATAAATAATAATAATAAAACACATTTAATACTTCAAAATCGGTTAACCATTCAAACATAACAATCAGAAAACCAAACACTTAAAATCGGATAAAAAAAAAAGAACACGCGCCATCACTAAAATCGCTACACTATTCACATACCATAAAATCGGCCAACCATTCAGACAAACAAGATTAAAATCACTCAAACAAACACAAAATTTAGTTAACTGTTGAAATGTTATAAAATCGACAGACTATATGTACTAAAATCAGTCAAATATTTAATGCATTATAAAATTTAAATAACATATTAGTGGACGACCATTCAAATACCGGAATACTGGACACCTCTTCCAAATACCGGAATACTGGACACCTCTTCCAAATACCGGAATACTGGACACCCCTTCCAAATACTGGAATACTGGACACCCCTTCAATTACCAAAATACCGGACACTCTTTCAAATACCGAAATACCGGACACTTTCAAATACCGTAATACCGGATATCCCTAAAAATACCATAATATTGGACACCTTTTGAAACACCGAAATACCGGACACCTCTTCAAATACCGAACAAGCACTCACACACCTACAACAATGAGTCAATTAAACCAAACCAGTTTCACCAACCTTGTGTTTCTGAAGTGGTTAACCTGTACACTGAGACACAAAGCTCATTAAGGCGAGTGAGTTCTGGGGTTAACACAGTTTTTAATAACAACAAACTTTGTTTTTTCTTGCACTCACAAAATAATGACTGAAAAATTTAGTTGGAAAAATCTCTTCGCCCCCAAACCTGACGTCACAGTCTATCTTATGAAGTCATTTAGTCCTACCTAACCTTAACCTAACCTAAACAAACCTAACCTAACCAAACCAAACCTAACCTAACCTAACCTAACCAAACCTAACCTAACCCAACCAAACCTAACCCAACCAAACCTAACCTAACCAAACCTAACCGAACATCTCAGCCTATCCTCTGAAGTTATTAAGTCCTACCTAACGTACAAAATGCTTATAAGCCTATAATTCACAATAATTTTTAAGTCAATCGCATCATTAATAACCTTAGAGCCGTGGAAATGGTCACATTATGT